AAACACATTAACAAGTAAGACAGAGAATCTCAACTGTCCGTGCTGCCTTATTTATCTCCCTGTTCACAAGAACAAACACAGCGTTTTTCTTTTTTTTCTAATACAAAACATTCACCCCATCTTAATATAAATTATGCATAATATTCTTCAATATATTATTTAGTAAAAGCACTATTAGCCATAAAGAAGTCTTACGTGTAGTTTTTCTGTCAGAGTACTGTAGTCATAACTCTTTGGTTGTCTTCTCAGGTTTCGCCACTTAATAACTGGCTGACCTTGGATAAGCCATGTAAGTTTACTGAGTCTCACTATAAATACTTAAAGCAAAGATCTGCGAGACCCAACAAAATTAGATGCTGTCAGATGTACACACATTTTTTGCAATTGCATTTTATGTAATTTTCAGCTCCTCCAAATCCCACAGAATGCACTATTTCAAGAGCAGTGCTATTTTCCTGCAGCTTTGTCTAAGAAATTCGTTTTTCCTAAAATCACTTTCTGAAGCTGCAAAGAAAAAATTTCATATAAAAGCACCATACTGCACATTTTGGCAATATTGGCTTAAAGGTAGATGTTAGTGAGGACAGAAGCATAACAAATCAATACACTATCATTTATAATGTATACACTCGAGAGTACATCAAAAAAGGACAGTTTGAACCAAAAGTGTAATTCACTATATTTCCTTGTGTCATTTATGGTATAAATGCTTCAGGGTAGGGATTGTATCTTACTACTTTTAACAACCAGTTTTATGAGGCATCAAGCTTGTTAGAAGTCTCTTAGGGATATTATATGCCAATTAAAGTACAGCTATATTAAGAAATTAAGTCTCACATAAAAAGTCCAAAGCAGTTTGAGACGAAAAGTGCTTAAAAGTTTTTTCTTTTCTTCTTAAGAAGTAACTTTTGTTTATATATAGGAAACAATTCAAGCCCAAGCCAAGTAATATCCAGACAGATGATGATAAGACATAACATTTTTATATGAGAGATAATGGATTTTTTCAATCATTAACTTGTAGGAAGGGTGAAATATCATGTTTGACTTCAACACTTTGTAAGTATGAATAGCACTTAATAACTTCACAGCTATACCATATGTATCACCTAATTACAATTTAACATCATTTACCTTTCTACTCATATGTATACATTGCTTACTATTATTTCCTAGCAGTTTTTACTGTAAAATTCCCAAAATATGTAGTAGTTACATTTTAAAAAAAGCTTTATTTCTGTTAGCAGGTGAATACCGAATAATCTGGAACACATGACATACACCACCGGTTATCTTTAGGTTGATATTATGAGCTCAAATCCTAAATACGAATCAACACTGACTACGAGGAGGTAACATGGACTACAAAACCAACAGAAACAAGACCGGAACCTGATTTTGCGATTTCAACTAAGCCTATGATAGTTCTTTTTATTCACTATTTTTGGTGCATTTTGTCTAGAATTTCCTTTCACAGCTTGTTAGTCACTACCTTACACATCTCAAATTTAAAGGAAGTCTGCTTTAATATAGCTTATACATCTACACAATTTCACTTTTTTATACTATTAAAAGCGTGTTATGAAGCAGACATTTTGAGAATTTAATTAGTTGACACTACTTCCCAGTCCCATGAGATTTTGTACCACAGAGTGTAAAGATTATGGTAACTATGAAATAAAGGTTCTACCATCTCACTGCATTTCAGGACATTTCTCAAGGGTCTTGCACGTTGGTTTTTCTTTCTTCCCTTTTTTTTTTTGACAGACTAGTTTCAAGCTCCATCCCACTTCTCCATCTCTAGTTCTTCAGTCTGTGCTCTCTTCCTCTGCCTTCTCTATTCCTTCATATTTTAGTTTCTTTTCCTTTTTTTTTTTGACCTGCTTATCTCAGTGCTTTGGAAAAGCCCGTATAAATCCTAGATAACTGCCCGTCTATAGAGAGGGAGTTCTCCTCCATCAGAGCTGTTCTACCCATTCCCATGGGTCCAGCTCGACGGAACAGCCAGTTCTGCTCCCAGGAGCAGAGGAAGAGCTGCCCGGGAGCCGCAGGGGATGTCCCACGCCTGGTGGGACCAGCATAAATCCGGGTTTACCACCCGCTGTGGCTCTTCCCGCTGTCCTCCAGTTCCCGTTGGGCCGGAGAGGACTCCGGGAGAGGAGCCGGAGCCCAGCGCGGCATTCCCGGCAGCGGAGCGGGGTTTCCAAGCGGGACATGGAGAGAAGCTGCTCCCGCCCGCCCCCGGCCACGCCCGGGGACACCGCGGTGCGGGCACCGGGACCTCAGCCTTTGGCACAGCACCGAAGGACAGACAGGATGGGAACGGGGACAGGGATGGAGTTGGGGTTGGTCATGGGGATGAGGGTGGGAACGGGCATGGGCATGGGGATGAGGACGGGGATGGGACTGGGATGCGGATGACGAAGGGTTTGGGGACGGGGATACAGATGGGGAAGGGGATGAGGACGACGATGGAATGGGGATGAGGACGACGAAGGAGATAGGGACGGAGACAGAGATGGGGATGGGAACGGCGATGGGAATGGGGATAGGGATGAAGACGGGGATGGGGATGCGACCGGGAAGGGGAGTGCGGCCGGGGATGGGAAGGCGGCCGGGCATGGGAACACAACTGGCTCCATCCCCGCCGCTCCCACCACGGGCCCCCCCCCCCGTCCATCTCCTTCCGCAGCCAGGGCAGGGGCGGCGAGCTGCCAGCCGAGCGGCTCGATGGGGCCGTCCCGAGGGCGGGGAGGGGCGGTCGCTCGCGGTCTCGGCGATGGATTGGGGGTGTCCGGCGCGGGCGGGCGGTGCCGCCGCCGGACGGAGCGCGGGGGGTGCCGGGCCCGGCGCGGCCTCAGGTACCGTCGGGGGGGACCGGCCGAGGGGAGGGAGAAACCGCGGGGGTGCGGGCAGCGAGGTCGGGAGGGAGCTCTGCCCCCCGCCTGGGCCGGGTGTGTGTGTGTGTGTGTGTGTGTATGTGTGACTCGGTGCCGCCGCCCCTCGGCCCCGTCCGCCTGTGACAGCGGCGCGGGGAAGGCGCTCTGCGCTCCCCTCCTCGGGCAGCCCCTGCCCGGGATAGAGGGGGTGCGTACGGAGGGGTCCCGCTCTGCCCAGAGCCAGCGTGTGGCCGGAATAGTGTGGCAGGAGCAGGGAAGTGATTCCGCCCTGAACTCGGCACTGGAGAGGCCGCACCTCGTGTGCTGTGCCCAGCCCCGTCACCTCTCACTGCAGGAAAGGCACTGAGGAGCTGGAGAGAGTCCAGAGAAGGGCAACGGAGCTGGTGAAGGGTCTGGAGCACAAGTCCTCTGAGGAGCAGCTGAGGGAGCTGAGCGGAGGATCAGCCTGGATAAGAGGAGGCTCAGAGGCGACCTTATTGCTCCCTACAATTTCCTGACGGGAGGTTTTAGCCGACTGGGGTCGGGCTCTTCTCCCGGGCAGCCAGTGACAGGACGAGAAGACACAGTCTTAAGATGCGCCATGGGAGGTTTAAGTTGGACATTTGGAAGAAATTCTTCACAGAAAAGATGATTAAACACTGGAATGGGCTGCCCAGGGAGGTGGTGGAGTCACTGTCCCTGGAAGTGTTTGAGGAAAGATTGGATGTGGCGCTCAGTGCCATATTGTTTGACACGGTGGTGTTTGATCATAGGTTGGATTTGATGATCTCAGGGGTGTTTTCCAACCTGATGGATTCATTGATTCTGAGCTGGCACCGCTGTCCTGCCTCTCCTGGGGTGGGGGGGTGTCTGTGCACCCCCTGCTTGGGCTGCAGCTCTCTTTGCTCCAGTGGTCTCTAGCATTTTAGCTGCAAGTGCAGGATACTTATCTTTCCTCTTCCAAGATCCCAAGGGCTCGATCCCCATTTCTTTCTCCTCAGGCATCCACTTATCTCTAAGTGCATTAAGGAGACTTACTCATTTCCTTCCCTCTCTTCCCGCTACTTTCCCCCAAAGATACCAGTGACAGGAAGGAAGGAGGAGACCCTCCCTTAACTCTGAGTATGGTGATTCTGCCGATTTCTTCTGTGCCTGGAGGGCTCAGCTTTCAGCTGCCAGTGTCCCGTTGTAAGCTGCCCTGCTGGTCCTTATCAGGGATACGTGGCTGTATATCCTGTGACAAAGCAGATATGTTTAGTCCTTGCCCTAGACAAGATTAGATCTGCAGCATGTGAAAGGGATGTCATATGTAATCCTCAGCTGATGTTAAATATATAGCTACTGGTGGCTCGAGATTGCCTGGTACGTGGTAACACCTTGGCAGCTTGACATGGGGTTTTTTCTTCTGATGTTCCTGGACGAGCAGGAGAAGGAGGTCAGTGTTAGTTCCATTGTCAGCTTTCACTCTGCAGACCTGAAACTTGTGTGTTTCTAACTCAGTGCGGTCCGAGTTGTTCGTGTCCAACAGGGTCACAGCCTTGCTGGGGTGACATGAGAACGAACTGAGAACTGTGTGCTTGGATACTCTGGTAGCTGGTAAAGACTCTGAAGTATGCAATAGGTTAATATTTTGTGTTACTAGTTCTATGTAAGAAATGTTGTTTCATGAATTTTGGGTAAGTGCTGGATAGGAAGCTTGAATTTCAGGTGTTCTTTTTATCCTTAGATACCAGGATCCAGCTGTGCCATGACAGTTTGACAGTATAACTGTTACATTGTGTAGTGCCAGATTCCTAAAATGTCTCTTTATGTTAAGCTAAATTCTCTTGTTTTGGTAATACAATTAACGTCCCTTCTGTTCAAACTTTGGTGTTGTATAACTTTTTACTTAGCTAGGAACAGCGATCTCTTGTTGCAGTACTCAATACTGGCATGGAAAACTTGGCTTCTTGTTTTCTGGATCTTTTGCTTCACTATATTTTAAAGATCCTACAGGAAACTTTCTTTGAGTAAAAATGACAGGGCTGCAGTGAATGTAATAGTTGTGTTGCATAAGGCTCAGCTCTCCACCTCTCCTGGAGATTCTTGCCTTTTTTCTCATCTCGTGACACCCTTTTTAGTGGAGGTCAGGGCTGTGTTAGTTTAACATTGATTTAATGTACATTTCCTATAGGTGTAAAATAAGTTTACTTTCAGATTTTTTCTGGTTGGAGTGAAAGCAGTGTCTCTGTTTATCTTATCTCAAAAGTAATCAAATGTGAAACAAGAGTCACCTGATGACAGCACATGTCAAAGGGGGGAGGAGGTTGTATCCTAGAACTGGTATTATTGGAGCAGCCGGTATAACTGGAAAAACTAAACCCATTTCTTCTGTGTGCAAGCCTTATCTTGGTATGTTGTCTTTCAAATTGTATATGAAATAATCTTGAGTAAATACAAGGAAGAATTTGAAGTTGACTTGCTCGCACCATGGTTTGTGACTGAGCTGCTGTTCTCGGTCTCGTCATTCTTGTTATGTACTCTTTGATTTTTTTATTTTCCTTTTGGGGCAGGAGGGGCTGTATTTTCCTCATAGAACAGATGCAATACTTCTGTTTTGCAATTATTTGGCAGTTCTCTGGCTTATAATGTTCTCTTCCCTAACTGTCAATGCAATAGAAGTGATTTCATAATTTGTGAGTTTCATGTGATTTTTCTTTTTTTCGGGTGGAACTTTTAATGTGGAAAAGTGATAATCTGCACAAAGAAATATTTAATGCTAATAAAATAAGATTACACATGAAGTGTCAATGATGCAGTTATACATTCTGCCCTCAGAGGTTGCTTGTTGGATGTTTGGAACAGCAGAGTTTGACAGGCTGCTGAGCCTGGTGGCTTTAGTGCAATCATCTATGTGAACATACATTGTAGACTACATAATGAGACCATTTTTTGTATTTTTTTTGGTATCATAAATTAAAGCAGTGACTCTGCTTACATGATCTAAAATACTGCAACATTTTAAAACCAAAGTAGAGTGTCATGACAAGAAATGTTAAGTATATTTTTAATTGGTTTTTTTTCAGAAGATCTTCATGTAACTGGCTTAAAAATGGTTCCACAAGATGACGGCACCAAATCTAAGACTGTGGAAATGGTAAATGAATGAATAAAAAAAACACTTTAGAAGATCTCCATGCTATTTGCTGAAAATGTTTTAAACTTTGCTTTTTTTTTTTTTCATTTTAGGAGACTATCTTCACTTTGACATGATGTGTGAAGCTTTTTAGTCAGCATTTTTTCTTTCTCTTTTACTGTTATTGTGAAAGGTACGTATGAGAAAAGTAAATCTTATTCTTTTGTGTTCATTTTTGTAAGACCATATTGCCCTCAACGTACAGAAGCCAAACATAAAGAAGTGTGTGGAGATGTATGTCATTGCAAGTTCATCAGTACTGGTACTTTGTTAATTAGTAGGACAATGTATCTGTCTAAAACTTCTCAAAATAGTAGTTTCTATCTGTCTTTGCATTTTGTGTGATGTTTTACAGGGTTTTAATCCTGTCCTAAAACTTAGTATATCAGTTTCCATAGGGTTCTGTTTTTCTGCTGAGCATTATGGGTGTTTTAAGTATTGCCTATAGCTTGAAGGTGCATTGTGCTGCACAATGAGGACTTTGTACTCACCCTTTCTCCATAAGCTTTTTGCCTTGTTATGGAAGAATCAAGCAAAGGGCTATATTAGGCACACAGAAATGTTAAACAGACACTTTGTAGTCAGATGGAAAGTAATAGCTGCTCTTACTGTAACGTACAAAAAATTTCAACTTCAAGACATAATTATGGGCTCTTTATTTAGAATTTTAGAATCTACTTATCATGAGTACAAAGGAAATGGTACTGTGTAGTTAGACTGTGAATAACTTTATATGTAACTTCCCTAAGAAGTAGTGGATATTCTATCATTCTTTACTTCCTTCCTGCTGAGGGACCTTAGAGCAAGGGATTTGTACAAGCCTGATGTAGACAAGCTGAGTACAATACTGAGCAACTACAGACTGTGCACAATATCTTTGCATGATCTCTGTTCACAGTGTTTATGTGCTATACCCTTTGAAGCCGTTTGTGGTGAGAACAGAAAAGCTGTAGATGTGAGCATCTGATGTAGAGACATCCAGTTTATCAGGCTACTGCTGCTCCTTCCTGTCTCCAGCTGTATCTCCCCCTCCTTCCTGCAGCATGTAACTGGTGGGAGACAGGAGTGGGTTCCGTTTCTAGTACACCTTAATACTGTTCATGAATTGTGCTGTAGCCTGACATGGTATGACATTTCTTCCTTCCAGCTCATTTGAACCCTTTCATGCCCACCTTCCATTTTTGCTTCCTATTATGCAACCACATGAGCAATTTTTAGGCTGTATATAATATAACTTAATGGTTCATAGGCTGTTAGTCATAATAAAATGAAGGCAAAGTTTGTAGAGTATAATATGTAGCATCTATTAGACCAATTCATAAAACCTGAAAAAATCTTTATAAGCTTTCAAGCATGAAAACCTTTCTGTTAGTTTGCTCGAGTTTAATACACCGATTTATTCTCTCTTTTGGGAACAAATGTTTCTCCTTTATTCCTTATCGAGTAAAAACTGTAATTCCTTGCTGAGCCTTTCATAACTTTGCCCCTCCCTACTTACAGGCTTCTGCTTTCTTTTGTCAATCCCGCCATTCTGTCAGGAAAGCAGAGTAATTATCCAGAACTGATGCCCACACATGGAATATATCAGCATAGATCTAGTGGTATAATTACACTTCAGGAACTCTGCCTGTTCATTATTCTTTGGAAAGAAGCCCTTTGAGAAATGGAGGAAAAAGCATCAAGATTTGAACATGGCAGAAACTGTATTGTAAAGGAGAGGCATGAGTCAAACCAGGAAACAAAGCCATTATCTCCAATATACTTGTGCATATCTGGGCATTTGAATCATTAATCTGAGGAACAGGCTGCTCTGGAAAAAAGAAATGGAGCTTCCTTACTGAAGACATTGTGACACTGTCTTTTTCATAAATAATTTTTAAATAATGAAGAGATAGTAAGTATTTGTAAGTTGACACGTGGAAAAAACAAAGTTTAATTTAAATTCATCAAACTGTGTTAGCAAAGTAGATCACCTCTATTTACTGGGAAGATCAGGAGCTGCTCTGTAAAGGTGACTTTTAAGTTTACAATCAATGTTTCTTCTTTTTTTTTTTAAACTCTTCATGGTTTGAGGGATCATAATTTACCCAAATGTCCTGCTATGACTTTGGAAATGTTTGTTGAATACTTAAGTTTAAACATGTTTCTGACTACCTTTAGCAGAATTATATTTGACCCAAGACATCAAACTTATTTCTACTGTCAGGTACCTGAATTTACCAAAACATAGTAGTTTCAAATTTAGCAGAACTTGTAACTTAGAAATTCCAAGAAGGCATTGTATGTGTTACCTACTTGTGCTTACTTTCAGTGCTAGAGCAGTTGATAAATTCTCTAAAAGTCAAGATTTACTTTCTGATTGCCCCAATGAAAATTTCATGCCATATCTGTCAAAGATCTGCTTTTTAGCGAGCACAAGCATATGTGTACTTACATATGGGCCCAGTTCACATATATGAAACACTTATCCTGCTGTTTATTGGGGGTTTTTTGTGTCACTGTTTGTAATCTTCTGGTGTTTGTTTCTTTATTGACCTTAACCAGGTTACAAATGGTGTGGGTTTTTATCATGAACCGAATGAGCTCCCAGAGCAGTTCATCCGCTCAGCGTCGGCGACTGGCTCTGGGAATCGTCATCCTCCTCCTCGTCGATGTGATATGGGTTGCCTCTTCGGAACTCACTTCTGTAAGTACTGCTCCACACATCTGAAAGGGAATATAGAAGCCTGTTGAAGAGAAAGATGCAGCAGAAACATAGTCACTCAAACACTCAGTGTTGTGTAATGTTCAGCCTTTTCAGTAAGGGGAAGGTGATACCCTTTGGGTTAGTGAACCAGCCTGTATCCACTAAAAGTTATAAGATCAACTCAGTGACTGCTGCTTTTGAGACAGAAGGTGTTACTGATGACTTTAAAATAGAACAGCATAAGCTCATAACTATGTACTGTAAATAGGGAGTTTGTTTTGTTTATTGCCATAATGATTAAAATAATGCCCATATGTTTCCCAAAAAGTAGTAAACAAGGTGTAACATGGCAGGCTGGTGGTGGATTGTAGATCAGGGCATATAGAAGTCCAGGATGAAAGGACTCAGGTCATGGAGTTTAAGCCTTGTAATTGCATCTAGTTCATATGTTCACCATATTGAAACTTTGTGGTATTTGCTTCCTGTTAAGTTTTAGGACTTAAAATAGAGCTTTATCAATTGAAATTGAGTTTTTAATAAATTCTGATCAAATTCAGGTTTCTGAGCTGTCTTTAAGTTGTTATGTTTTATATCGGTCTTGAAATTAAACATATACAAATGTTTGTGCTTAACATGTTGTATTATTAATAAAACATTTTTTCCAATGAGCCAATGGAATCGCTATTGATACTGAAATGTTACTTAATCAAAGTACTCTTCTCTAATTTTTGATTACTGTATTATTGCTTACAAAAGGGGTCTTTAATTTAGAAAATATTTGTATATAAATGTATTTTCAGACCTATTTGAGTTCAATGGCATATAAATATATTACTCGGTTAGATACAAGTAATAAATAATTTTTTTCTGGTGGCATTATGTTCTACAAAATGGCTCAATGCCTTCTTGTTGGCAGTAGAAATAGCTTGGAAGGGGGTACCCCCAGAACAAGTAGGGCAAGTGGTTGTTTTGGTCATCCCTGCCAATGTTCATAGTGCTGTCTTTTTGGGAACCAAAATATGTATATATATATATATGTATATTATGTAACAAATATACTGTTCTGGAGTATATTCTCACACCTGTTCATTCATTTTTGTGAATTCTCACCTATTTGGTAATTTTGGATACTACAATTATTTTCTTTCCACAGTATGTTTTTACAAAGTACAACAAACCTTTTTTCAGTACGTTTGCAAAAACATCCATGTTTGTTCTATACCTCTTGGGATTTATTGTTTGGAAACCATGGAGGCAACAGTGTACTCGTGGGTTTCGTGGAAGGCATGCAGCCTTTGTAAGTATCATAACTCTGTAAATGTTGTGGTATTTGTTTAAGTTTGTATGAAGAAAAGCTTAAAATAGGGACTAGAGAGGAACAAAGTTTACATATTTATGAAATAGTACTTTCAGAAAAGTGATTATAAACTGAATCCTAGCACAGGAGGACATGGCAGTCATAGTTGTCTTGTGAAAGAATGAGAGGAAAGGAAAAAGCAATATGAGATGTGCCAGGAGTCATAAATGCTTTACTGGGCTAGACCATTGGCCTATCTAACCTGGTATTTAATTGTGGACTGTTGCAGAATATAATTCCTTTTAAGAAGAGCTAATGAGCCTCACCACTGCTGGCTGTTGCTTCTCTTTTATTTCCCCTACAACTGTAAGCAATGGAATCAGAATTTGGACTCTGTAGTTGATTTTTAGTACTGACTCTTTTTGTCTCTGGCACAACTATGAACTGTTTGCTAAGAGGTTTTGAGGGTTTTGAAGTTATATTTAGTAAGAGTGATAGAATTATGCTTTTGTTGTTGTTAATGCTGTTTTTTTATAGCCTTTTTGCATGAGTGACCTTCCTTTGCCCATTCTAGAGCTAGGCATAGTTTGTGCTAGAGTCTAAAATTATTGTTATATGACAGAAATATTTTTTTCTTTTGCAAGGAAATTAAGAGATGCTGGGAAGGGCACTTGTTCTGTGCCAGTGTTTCAGAACGCTGAACAGCAGGACTCAGGAAGCAGTGAGGCATTTGGCCTGATATTAATCTTGCATTAAAAGAACAGAAAATGTGATCCAAGAACATGCTGTTAATCAACATGTTGTTATAGAAATGAGCTTATATGAAAGGAACAGACTTCAGATCTTCTGGATATATTAAACTGCACTGATAGTGACACTATCATAATTAAATTTAAGCGTTACATGACTTTTAGCCAAATTATTTTTATTTAAAAAAACCCAGACCATAAAGAACAAAAATAACCCCAGAAAAATAAACATTTTGGGGTTTTTGTTTCAGATTTTGAGTTAAACTCAAAGAACATTTACAGATGGCTGATATCTTGACATAATCTTTGCTAGATCAATGCCAAGTGTCTGTGCATAGTATGGCACGTGTTAGACTTGATGTTGTTCTGGATCTTCATAAGATAATCAGGACATAAACAGAGCTTACAGTTTCTTTATTGGCAGTAATGTCAAATTAGGGTGATGTGCAGAACAATTATACTGACCAAATTTATTAATCTGAGCACATAAGTAGAATAATAAGAATAAGATGCTGCCTAATGTGAGTTGTAGTGGTTACATTGACCAGCTGAATCTTGTGCACTGCTCTCTCTAAGAGAGATAGTATGATCTCATGAACTGGACAGCTAGGAGTAAGAGTGCTCAGTCTGTCACGTGTGTGGCACTCATGACACTGCTACTGGAATCTCACTATTTTTCCTTTCTAATCCTATCAAAAAATAATATTAAAATAATTTGTAGGAAATAGCCATTACTTTGATGTTAGTCTATTTCAAAAGAACAGTGCAGACAGGACTGTAGTGTGAAGTTAGAAGACTCCCTCCCTCCCAAGGAGTGTAGTTAAATATTCAACTGTATAATCATTATAAGTGTCTTTAAAATGCCTTGTGTTTATTAATCTGGAACAAAAATACATTTATAGGGTTTTGTTTCAATAGTGATTGCTTGGGTAAACACTCACACCTTACATTTAAGTCCTCTTCCATATTAGAGATTTTGTTTAATAGATTGCTACCTTTGTTTAATAGATAATGGTAGAACAGCAACGTGCAGGTCGGGGAACAGGGGTTGGTGTGGTGCAGAAAGAAAGGGAGAAAGTGGTACTTGACCTCATCGTGTTGTTAAAACTGAGGCAGAGTCCCACATTTTTAAGCAAAGGAACTCTGCCTCAGTAAAATGAAGAAAGAAGCAGCTTGTTGTTAATTCCTGCACATGTGAAGCATGTCTTGCTAAGACTAAACAGGTTTTGGCTTTCTTAACAACCTCGTCCTGCATTCATACCTGAGTAGTTGAATTCAGTGGGGTTCTCCAAGAGATACAAGAAAATACCAAAATTATTTACTGAACTTGTAAACCCTCTTGGTAATGGGGAGGAGGGTTGAGGGGAGAGAGGGAATTGTGACAGAAATATGGAAAAAGTAATTAAAAAACTTATTCTGAAAACAATTCAGTTGTTAATAACTCTACCTTGATAGTTTTTATTACATTTAAAGTTCTGTAATTAGTTTGCAGATGCTGAAGGTTATTTTGCTGCTTGTACAACAGATAACACTGTAAACAGTTCTCTGGTAAGTGCCTGAATTTGTGAAGATCAATGCTTTACAATAACATGGCACCACTAACCTGAATTACTGATTTTAAAATATGGTAGTCTTAAATGTTAAAGTTTTTGGCAAAGGGGGTTGGTAACTTATATGTTACTAATAAGTGCTGCAAACGATGACATGGCTTATTATAAGAAATACAGGTTTCTCAGCTCAATAAAACACTTTTGAATGTTTCTGTAGCAGTTTGTCAAAGAAATACTATGCCATACAAAGGAAACCTTTAAATATTCAGCTCAGTACCTGCCAAAGCCACATATGGAGAGCTGGTGGTAAAGCTAAATAGTTTTCAAGTCTAAAATATACAACAGAATCATTCAATCAGTGGAGTATTTTGTACACTGTGATCCTGCATTGCATTTTGAGAGAGAATCAGACTCAGTTTCAGTGTCAGTCCTGATAAGCTGCACTGCCAGGCAGCATTTTTGGGGTGATTTTCATCATCCAAAGATGATGGTTTGTTATGCCTCTGTTGATCACAGGTTACTGCTTAATCAGTGTACCTGAATCAGAGGGCCACATGCAGAAATGTATCCAAACCACAAAACTTCTAAAGTTTGCACCATCTCTGTAACAGAATAGGGGGATGCAATTGAGTTGAAGAATTATTTTCAGACATATTCTTCATTTAATTTTTGGTTGGGTTTTTTTTCCCAACTTTATCTATCTACATTTAAGAATAAAATCTTAGTCTGCTCGATTTGTTCACCACACTCTAGAATCTTGGACAATTTTGCATTAATTTAAACATCCACAAAAATTCTGGTCCTTAACAAGGAGCCTAATTAAAATGCAACTACCAGATCTTTTCCATTACTTCACTCTTTGTGATGGTTTGAACAGCACGACTCTTACAGTTTATTAATTCAATCTAAACAAACAGTTTAAAACTTGTCTTGTTAGCAGAAGTTTTAATTGCTTAAAATACTTCTAAGTGTCTTATATGTTGGAGTTCCTTTCCCAAAGTTTTTTGACGTTTAGTTCTAGTTTGTGAGAAAATGAGAACATAGTAATTTTTGTATATATATTCTGTATTTTCTAGTTTATGTTTGTAATTTAAAATTTAGACAGAAATTATAGTTCTAATAAACATCTGTGATATTGATCAGTTATTTTATAATTTTAAATCAGTAGGTTTGAATTTTCTGGTCATAATTTTTGTGTTCATGACGATATACACAGAAGTGCAGTGTTCTCTCTGAATACTGCATTTTACCAACATGTGCAAATATATTATATACATTATGCATGCACATTTTTGACAAGTCTATGCACTGTGTTCAAACCCACTTTGAGTTTGATTCTGTTACTATTCACCAAGCTTTTCTTTATTTAGTTTTCAAATTTGCTAGATTAGTTCTACTGCTTATAATTTAAATATCCCTCTTAACTGTATTTTTACTTATACCGATTCATTGCAGAGTGAACCTTTATATGTTCCTGTAAAGTTTCATGACTTGCCAACTGAAAAAAATGGCAGTAATAATAGTGATGCAGAGAAAAGTGAGTAAAGACTTTTGGAATGCTGAAATGTTAGTTCTTTGGTGAAGGAAGTACTTTCTTCTTTAGTATAACTGCTGTCATGTCGCAGGTCTCGCCTCCCCCTTTCCCCCCCCCTTTTTTTTTTCCCCTTTCCTTAAATCTCTTATTGCATGAATTGCAGTCTCATATATTTATTTTCAGGTAGAGAAAACATAGGCCTATCGTTCAGTTTACCTTTCTTGGTCACTACAGATCCAGCCTATGTTTATCTCAAGGGACCAACTGGGTTCAATACTTGTGATTCTTTCCTTCTGGGCTTGTATGACCAGCAGCAGTGAGTCAGCCTCTGGAAAAACAAGCTATTGTCCTTTTTAGAGCAGGAGCAAAGCAGTCAAAGTAAGAATTTTAACAGTCTCTGTGCATTCTGATTTTATTTAAGCCTCACTATCTTGTGATAGTATCTGAAACAGGCCTAATTGTCCCAGACAGTTGTAGAAAAGTTAACTGTCAAAGAAGGCAATTATCTGATCCTCAGCAAAAGAGTCCCTGCTTATAAAAGGCAAAGTCTCTTCTTTAATTTCTAGATGTTAAGAACCACTTTGGTAACCCCTGATGTCCTGTGACAACATGCTCCAATCACTTCAGAGTTGTTTAAGCCATAGCTTTTCCCTTCACATTTTTTAGGAAATAAGGTATTTTTTCATATTGAATTAGGATAACATTTACATGTAGTGTGTAGTGTAATGTTTTCTTTACACAGAAGACTATTGATACTTACAATACACTTATGAATAAGAGCTCATCCTGGTTAGCAAGATTAGTTAGAGGGTGGTTTTCAAAAGGGCAAGTGACTTTATGATCTCTGCTAAGCTTTGAGGTCTGTTGGACTCTCATCTTCTGAATGAAACATTATCCTTACAGTTAGGTGTAGTTGTGTGCAAGTTTGGGCTGTTTGGCTACTAAACAATTAAAGAAAATCTTATGTGTAATATTTTATCAATATGGAATAATTCCTATCTAAAAATTTGTTGTTACCTTATGTTGGATTTTTTGACAGGGAGCAGAGATGATGCTTTTCAGTGAGGTTTTTGTGGGTGGACAACTGTACTGATTGAAAACAGTAATTGTACTTTGTCTTATTAGTAGCTTCTTGAGTAGCAAAATACTAGCGTTTATTAAAAAATAATGGCATGTCTTCTATTTGGGTAAAAACCTGTTATTTGTGTAGCATCGTAATCAATGCTGTATTGGAACATGTTGGTTTTGTTTACATGTTGTGTTGGCTCAAGAAGTTTAATGATAATATGAAGCTTTTTTCTTTCTTTTTTTTCCTTCTCCAGCTCCCAAAAAGCCTCGTGTAAGGTTCAGTAATATTATGGAGATCCGACAGCTCCCATCAAGCCATGCATTGGAAGCCAAGTTGTCTCGCATGTCATATCCAACAGTTAAGGAGCAGGAATCAATACTAAAAACTGTAGGAAAACTCACTGCAACTCAAGTAGCAAAAATTAGCTTTTTCTTTTGTTTTGTGGTATGTTCTCCATTCTTTCAGAAACTCACACATAAATGTCATTAAAACTTGTATAATATTAGTGAAAAAGTATTGAGGTGACTTGTATTCTTAAAGCCTTGTGTCATAAATGTGGTATAGGAAGTAAGGCTTTCCTGGTGCTGGACATGAAGGTGCAAGATTTCCTTATGAGTCTGTTGGTTGCTGATATTTCTGCATCATGCCTTAGTTCTGGGGGGAGAGAGAGGTAACAGTGGCATGATTTTTGAGACAGTAAAAATGTAGAGAGCAGATCAGTGACACCTTTTCCAGAAGCAGCTTCACTGATACTGCCAAATAGGTTCTATGTAATGTGGACCCACCACAGCTTTTGCTCAGGAAGTACTGCTCTGTAAACATTATTATTATTACTGTCATCATCAATAATAATAACACTGCTGGAAAATGGTAGTTTAATTTTTTCTAGGGTAGTGTTTTCATATTCAAAATAAATCCTGTTTATGCTGTTCAAGCTGTTACTGGCACGTATATGTATTTCTTTTTGGGCTGTATGAATATTTCCACTAAGACTAGAGAGTGGTTACTTCCCTCAGAATATATCTGAGATCTTATTAATGAGATCTCAATCAATAAATGAGTAAACACTTGCCATTTTATTCCTTTATGAGAGAATTAACAAATATTTTTTAGGTATTGAATAGAAGTGATGCTTGCTTTTTACAGTAGAGATGTGTCCAGGGTTTTAAGTGCTCTAAAAATTTAAACTCATTAGGCTGACTAATGTTCCGTGCATTCCTGAAATTTCTTTGCAGCCCTTGCACAGTTATCATCTGGAAGCACTTCCAAAACAAGTTAAAAGTACCTTTAGTTACTACAGAATAGCTATTATAATGTCATTTTAATTATTTTTAGGTTCTGAAGTATGTTATTTCATTATTAAACATGTACTTTTATATGGTTGGTTTGGGCTAGTTCTAAGTGCACTGCTATCTTTTAATGTACTTTCCCCTTTAATAGAAGTTAGAAATCACTTTAAGGTAAAAATCATGTTCTGATTTTATTTTTGGATGACCAGTTGGGGGTTTTTTTGCTTTAAGTAGAATTTTATTGCGCTGAGCAACTTAAACTCTGTTGCTGCTACTCATATAAAACAATTATTTTTCCTTTTTCCCCAGTGGTTCTTGGCAAATTTCTCTTACCAAGAAGCTCTGTCAGATACCCAAGTTGCCATAGTTAATATCTTGTCATCAACCTCTGGTAAGATTTATTTACACCACCAGATATGCCTTCTAAGGCTGTTTATAACGTAAAAATCTGTTTGGCTACAATGGACTTGTGTAATGTTTTACCTGTGGTTTTGGCTTAAAGCCATTGAATATGTGCATTTAAGAAAGTCATTATATATTTGCAGAGGTTTAGGGTACCTTCATGTTCTCCTACTTTTTGAGTTCGTGTGTGTATTTCTGCAGTTATGTCTGTGTATTAAAAAGATATTTTGGGAATGTAATAGCTCTAAAGGAAAGGTGGTATAACTGTTTATCTTGCTAATGATTGTTTTTTAAAAAATGGGTTTAGAGGTAAAGAACTTAAACCACTTAAATATTATGCATATCATATGCTTTACAGGTTTTATGCAAGGCTCTAATACAAGCTTTAGAGTATTTAAACTATGTGACAGTACATATTTGGAGAATTAACTTTTTTTGTTTTATAAAGTCAGTTTTAGAAACAGAATTATACAATCTGTCACTGACTTTTCTGACTTATTGCAGTTTATTTTGTTAGTATGGCTGGCCTTTTTCAGAGCTGAGCATGTATTTGCTTATCTGAGGATTCACATCACAAGGTGTTAATTTTCATAACAGTTCTGACTAAAATGAAGGATGTTAAGAACACGTAGTTAAAACAAGTACATGAAATATAAAGAAGAAACTGTCTGTGCAGTTTTCTGAACAAACTGGTGGCAAAACATGATTTTATAAACTTCTCTTAATTTCTCTTGCAGGGCTTTTTACATTAATCTTAGCTGCAGTCTTTCCCAGTAACAGTGGAGATCGGTTTACCCTGTCCAAATTATTAGCTGTTATTTTAAGGTAAGATAATGGGATAGAACATTTGGTCAAAAATTGTCTGATACAGTGAGAGGACAACTGTACCTTACTATACTTGTGGTATCTGTGACCGTAAATTCTACACATCACTTTCTTAAAAATGCTCATTTCACAGATAAATTGAGCAAGTTGAATTAAATCTTTTTAAATACTTCATATCATGAACAGTTACCAAATCTCATTCTCCTGTAGGAAATTAAATTAACCAGGTTATTCTTGGAAATAAGTGAACTTATTTTCTTCTTGTTTAATTATTTTTTCTGTGTAAATGGGGAAAAAGGAAGTGGTTTGACATTCAGTGTTGTCAACCTGTTTCATTAAATGCCTGGTGTATTGTTCTGGGTGTTAAAAGTGGGGTTGGTTGGTTTGATTTTAGCTTAGGATCAGGCCTTAGCAATAGAGAACTCCTTTTGGCTTTCCAGAAGTGGGTTTTGATTAAATAAAAATGCCTAAAGATAGAACTGTATTTTTATGTTTTTCTTTCTTTTTTTTTCTCTATTTGTCAAAAAGTTCCTGGGTTTAAGAAACCTTTTGCATTTCTTTTCTTTTGCTAGCATTGGTGGTGTGGTACTTGTTAACCTTTCTGGATCTGAAAAATCTGCTGGAAAAGATACAATAGGTATTTACTTATGGTTTTTAATCCTGGAACATGCAGTGATGAGTACCATCTTCTGACAGTACCAAGTAGTCATATAGCAAGCTCCATATTTCTTACTCATGTAACCTTCTACAATCTGGCTTTTTAGTTTGAACTTCTGAAACTTGTCATTTATGATAATTTTCCACTCTATGTATATAGCTTAATTGGGAAAGTATTTACATTTTTGAGCTCTACATTTTTCCATGCTTTTCATATATTAAGGGATTCTGTAATAAGCAGTTTCTGAGTGATGGTTTTGTAATAACTGTGTGTTTAGGGGAGTTGATCCTACTGTGCTTAACATGCTTAGCATGTCTTTTTCCATCTTTCCAGGTTCCTTGTGGTCTCTTGTAGGAGCAATGCTATATGCTGTGTACATAGTAATGATAAAAAGGAAAGTAGATAGAGAAGATAAACTTGACATACCAATGTTCTTTGGTAAGACTAAAAATAACTCTATTCAACATTTTAATTCGGTGTGTAATTAAATTGTTTGCTCTCAGGCACTGAACTGTGTATCAGGGGCTTAGAAAAGCCAAGGAAGTAGAGAAAGCCTGTTATTCCTGTTAGGAGTACTTTAGGTACTGGTTGTGTGGATTGTTTCTTGTTTAAAACCTTAACAATGAGTGGTAACACTACCTGTGGGAATGCAGACAGCCCCTTTGACTTAATGAAATTCTAGAATTTTATTTTCAATTTAAAACCTGTAAATATCTGATGCAATTTTTGTTTGTGAATTTCAGGTAAAGTTTCTTATATTCATTTCATTTGAAAGATTTAAAATACTGCTTCATTGCTTGTTTTTTTTGTATGCATGTTGTCAGAGTTTAGATGAGATTTTGGTTATGTTGAAGGATATTCTTTGTGATTTACTTAAAACTGTTTTTATACTCAGGTTTTGTAGGGCTGTTCAATCTGTTGCTGCTGTGGCCAGGGTTCTTCCTGCTTCACTATACCGGGTTTGAAGCATTTGAGTTTCCCAACAAACTGATATGGATGTGCATTGTCATTAATGGCCTTATTGGAACAGTTCTGTCAGAGTTCCTCTGGCTGTGGTATGTACTACATACATTGAATATGGTTGACATAAATTATCTTACCTGTGTTCTCACATGTCGAAATGTCAGATTGTCTGGGTAGGTGGTTTTTCTTTGTTTTTAAAATTTTTTCTGTCCATATATGCAGCTTAAGTTAGAGGATGTCACCCATCATGTCACAGTGTCCTGTTAGAAAGCCACAGCTAATTTTAAAAAGCAGGTGATGTGGTCTTGTAGTATTTATTAAAATCCTGTGTGCATAGCTCATTTTAGAATTGACATTTTGTGACAAAAACACTTTGTGGTACAGAGTTGCTGTAGCAATAGGAGAGCATGAATTTCTGTTGTAACAGTTCTGTGACAATACTGCAACAAAAGATGTAGGTGGAGTTCCATGAAAACCTTTTTGTTTTGTTTGGGGGTGGGCGTGGGGGTTTGTGTCTCTTTTTGATTTTTTGGGTTTTTTTTCAGATTGAGTTTAAAGTTATTTAGGAAATCTAATCATGATAATTTTTGTTTATTGGCAAACTCTTACACCAGTCCTAATTATATATGCATTGTTCCTTTGAATTAAACTTGTTTATTGATGGAATATTTTTGTGATGTTAATGCCATCCTGTAAGATTACACTGCAGCTCAGTATCTGGTAAAAAGGTTAAGTGCAATATTTTAATATAGGTGAAATAACAAACAAACAAAATTTCCCAAAACCCCAAACATTGGCTCTGGTCCCAAAATCAAGTATTAGGATGGGGTTAAGTACATGGGTGTGCACAGTCTTCTTTTTGTGCAATTACTCAGAATGATAATCCAGTCAATCAAAGCATTAGCTTTATTTCCAGTTCCTTTTCCCTAGAGTTTTGGACTGGGACTAATTTCAGGGCTTGTGCTGACATCCTCCTTTTATCTGTCCAGTGTGCCACTAGTATGGTCCTCTTCACTTTCTTTGGAAGTAAATAATGCCATTTAACCTACTGCCACATACTGCCAACTATATAATGAAGGGATAGATATGACTCTTAATTTTAAGGGGTTTTTTAACCTGATGATAAGTTTTTATAGGTTTCCGTGCCATTTATTCATTTACAGTTTTCTGGTGGACGGGCTGGTTCTAATTCAGAAGCAGACAGTGCAGAGATACAGGAGTATTCTCTTGTGCTATAGAGAACCATGGTATAGAACCAAAATGCAGATTTTTCTAGATGAAGTTAAAGAATGTGAAGTAGGGAATTTTCCATCATCTCAAAAGGTTTATATGGGAATTAAACCTCACCCCAGAAGACATCAATTGTCTAGTTAGGAATTGTAAGCAGTTTCACAGATGGAGTGTGGGCGTGTGAGCTTTAATTTTTGATTATTAAAACAAACAATGACTGTTAAGCTTGATCAAATGCCTTCCTCATTTGATGTGTTACTTTGTCTTTTAACTTTTAAATAAGACCTTTGTATTATAATTATTATTTATTATCATTATTATTTTATAACTGTTATTATTTCATTGTCTTTCAGGGGCTGCTTTCTTACCTCATCTCTGATCGGCACACTTGCTCTAAGCCTTACAATACCTCTGTCCATCATAGCTGACATGTGCATGCAGAAGGTAATGTAATTCTACATTTTGAGCATTATTTCTTCAAATTAAATGGCAGTATTATCTTTATTGATGTATACAACGAGCAGTATTTTACTTCTGTCACCTGTTAATACTTGTTGAACTGCATTGGGATTGATGCTCTCTTGATATTGACAGTTACAGTAATTTTGCACTTTAAAGTGTGCTCTTGCACAAAATTGATTAAAGTGCAGCTTGTATGAAAAGTACCCAAAGTCATCAGCAGTACCTGGCCAGATACATTACCTTGAACAGGCACTTTTCAGAATTAAAGAACATCTGCAAATACAGCACACCTTAAATTCATACCTTTACAATTACAGAATTGTATGGACTGCTTATCTTGAAAGTACTCAATTAGTGACAAACCCAAAAACCTGCAGGTTTACCACAAAGGAATAAAGCAGCTACAAGAAGTTCTTTACTGAGATGATAAATCTCTATGTGAATTGGGGAGCAGTTTGGTCAGGTAACAGTTTAGCTAAAAATGATATCAATAAAAATGGGCAAAACTGACCAAATGCAGAACTAACTATACAATACTGCTGAAATTTTGAGTAGACTGGTGGCCTTGCTCTGCCAGCTGCTGCTTGGTTACACTGCTTTGATACTCATGACTCTTGTAGCAAATGCAATTGCTGTTTATTTTTAAGGTCTGTGCAAATATAAGTGTGAAAGTATGAGAAGAGAAAATTGCTGCCTGTGCCTGGAACATGGCTTAACTTGAGCATTCTCTGAGTAGGGTCTTCCCCAGAGCAAGTGGAGTTTGTGCATTGTCTGTGGTGGTTCAATTTGTGACTTGATTTCAGTCATCACATTTGAGGTTTTCCTTTTGAGACTTGTACTTGTTTGCATGGTACAAGAAATTAGTCAAGTAGACTTTGAGGTTTTTTTGTAGAAGTGCATTTGTGCAAGTGTGTCTCTGTTATACGAACATCTAAATATCCCAAGCCAAGCCCTACGCTTGCTGAAGTCTCAGGTGTCCAAATTGGGCTCATAGAAATTTAAGCTTCGAGCTGCTCCCTTAGTGCCTCTGGCCAGCCTTGTCTTTACTTAAAAGGAACCTACACAAGAACGACACTGTCATGACTAATAATGTAAAGATTGAAATAGTAATATATGCAGTCTTCGTATGACTGTCAAATGGCACGGTAGTTATACAGTGTGCATAATTGCTGACTTTCTGGATGTTATTCTGTAATAATCTAGCATAAATCTGAATCTTAAGAAATTACAACCAAGTTTTTGATGACTAATTAAATATTCCTTTTGGTAATTTACGTGTTTCTGAATTTCTGTTAGAAATCACTAAGAAAACACAAGGCTTAACAATTGCAGTTTATTAGAATTTTGAGGGTGACCATCAATGTTGGGTGCCAGATTTTCTCCAAATTCTTCAATTTTGGATATTTTCTCCACACGAGGGTGCTGTGCCCACAGTTTATGGCTCTTTCATCCTGAAAGGCAGGTCCCAGGCCGATTGTGCTCTTCATTTGGAATTGTAGAACCATGCAATGGTTTGGGTTGGAAGGGATCTGAAAGATCATCTAGTTCCAACCCCTGCCATGGGCAGGGACACCTTCCACTAGACCAGGTTGCTCAGAGCCCAGTCCAACTTTGTCTTGGACACTTCTAGGAATGGGGCAGCCACAACTTCTCTGGGCAACCTGTGCCAGGGCCTCACCATGCTGTAACCTCCTATAATTTTAAGTTTTAAACAGTATCAGAAGGCTGCTACTGAGTGTAGTAATAGCTGGATAAAAGTAGCAGTGTAGATACAAGTAGAATTTAGTTTAAATTGGGCAAATAATGTGCCCTGCCTTTTTTTTTTAATTAAAAAGAAAATTACTGTAAATTTCAAGTAGCAGAGTCTTTTTATGTGCATTTATATGCACTGACCAGTTACTGGTCAGTGACAGTATATTCATAGTGAATAGACAGGTGCACAAATCTTTCAGGTGAGATCTCTTATTCAGGATTTCTGAAGTGTCTAGTTTCTCCTTGGTACCAGAGAAACAGCTAAAAACCTAAAAATGAGACTCCTTGGAAATAGGAGTCTTCATTCACCTCACAATGCAAACAACATGTTCCATTGTAAAGAACGGATCAGTGGAAAAAGATATTAGCAGCAACAGTGGCTATAGAAATTGTACCAAATAACTCACCCAGTGTAAAATAATTCAAACTGCATCTCAAACTTACAATAATAATCTCAAACTTGCAATAATAATTATCCTAAATATGCAGCATTTTTTTTTTTTTTTTTTTTTTTTTAAACTGTTGAGTGAACGATGTTTGTGTTTTAATTCCAGGTGCAGTTTTCCTGGTTATTTTTTGCAGGGGCAGTACCTGTATTTTTTTCTTTTTTCATTGCAACTCTCTTATGTCACTATAACAACTGGGATCCAGTAATGGTGGGAATCAGAAGAGTTTTTGCCTTTATCTGTAGAAAACATCGAATTCAGAGGTAGGACATTCACAAAGTATTATCCTATCTCTTCTCCAGCCTTTCCGTTAACCTATATTTTTTATAAGCTGCAGTACTCATACTCTATTTATTTTCAGCTGATTTTATATTCAGTAGTACTGATTTCTTAATAGTAGTAGTTACCAATCCATTTATTAACCTCTGCAATGCTCAGAAAATGGAAAGATGTGAAGTCTTTTTACCTTTTAAAAGAAATTTCCTAGTGGCTATCAGAGTTTTTCCTCTTAATGCCTTTATGTTAATTGCTATACCCAGAACATGCAGTGAAAATTGTGCAAACTTAAGTGTATTTGATGAACTTAAGGGGTCTTTGCATGTTTTTAATGGCTGCAGTTCAAACAACTAGTGTATTTAGTTAATTACTTTCGCTTCCTAACAACCAACTTAATATTACTGTGTTACTTTAAATAAATAAATTTGTTTCTTTTAAGAATGCCAGAAGAAAGTGAGCAGTGTGAAAGCCTCATTCCTATGCATAGTGTTTCACAAGATGGAGAGAGTTGCTGTTCATAGACAAAAGGTATGCTTAAAAACCTCAAACAATACACAGAAAGGTGAGGATTGGTTTCCATGGTGGCATTTGTGTTATGCAAGGACACATTTTTAAAAAGCATACAGTTAGTCTTGTCCTGTATTGATGGACACAGTTTTGAAGTGTGTCGTCAAAATTATTATTCATTGCCAAGCATTATTCTCACATTGATACAGTTTTTGGTTAATGGTTTTGAAATGTGAAGTAGTTTTTAATTAAAATGTTCGTATAAAATTGGACATGAGTCAACAAACCAGAAGAAGCACACAACTTCTTGACATGGATTATGTGTGTGGAAGAGAGCTGAAGTAATTATTTCACTCCTTAATGCTGTTGGGGTCTCCGTTTGGGTTACTGCAATTCACGAAAAACACCAACCATTTAAGGAAGCTCAGAGAACATCACCAGACTTTATCATTATGGGTCCAGAAAATGGAAGGGAGCCCTTGTGTTTGTAGTTGACAAGAATTAAGTTGTTAAATTCCATTAAATATTAGGGCAAATATTTCTCACGATAACCATAGGGAAACTAAACTAGAAAAGCTAAAGAGTTTGCAAAATATCCCTCTCTAAGAGGGGGTTACACAAACATCTAAAAGGAACATTACATGGTCAGTACAGACATAGTTTAGGACTCTCCTAGCCTTGTGCTAAAACCAGGGCTTTAGTTTTCAAATAATGCATGCAGAATTACATGAGAAGTATATTTTTATTTTCTAACATTGCTTAAATCGAATAAAGAAATTGAAAACATTCTAACCAAAACAGTAATTGTGATGTCTTAAGCTTAAGACAGGGAGTTATTTCTTTTATTAGTAAGATGGAAACAAATATACATGGTGATTCTTTTTTTGAAATCCTGACTTATGTACTCTGATATTTTTTTCTTTTTCTTCTTCTTAGTTTAAAAATGGAATGATGCCCAGCGAAGAGACAATCTTCTGGAAAAGTCCCTAAGGAGTCATGTTTCAGTGCCTATTCTGAATTTGTAGTAAAAATAAGAAGTTTCAGTTCTTTTGAAACTCTAAACTTTTCCTCTTTCTTGCTTTCATCTGATTTTATAAATGAACAAAGTTACTCTATGCCTATCACCATAGGGAGTCTTAGTCCATCTGAGCAACCAACCTGCCTTATAACACTTGAGCTGGTGACATTACTTGACAAAATCAAGAAAGCAAATGCTGTTAAGTGATTTCTTTCTTTTTTTAACTCATGATTTTGTTAAATGCTGGACAATATTGTTTTTAAAAGATACTTTCAAGTGAGTTATGTAAATAAGTTTGCAGGTCATCAAATCTTACAGGCTTTCAGAGGAAAAGCTTAATAGATACATTACCTGTAGTAGGTACAAATTAAATTTTTTTATGTTGTATAAACTATTTGCATATTAATAGAGGAAAACAGAATAAATAATTTATTAAGTGCATTCTTATGATTATTGAGGCAGGATCTTTGTTCGGTCCTGGAACACTACAGACGTGTTGTCTTAGGCCATTTTGAGAAGCCTTGTAATGGCAGTGGGTGCCGATGTTTAAAAATCTTGCTGCCCAACAATCTGGAATGCTTGAAATTTCAGTGAATGGGGAAATATTTCTATTTACAATACGTTTGGGTGTCCATTCTCAAAATCAATGTTTGTTTTAAGCAGACTGATTCTGTAACCCGTTCTTACTCCCAGTTATCTCACAGACATGTGAAAATTTTCATGTATGTAGCTGCCAAGTTGCAAAAGAGGTCAAATTAATTGAGGAAAGTTTTCAGTCAGTGAGTTGGCTGCTGAGCAATCTAAAAGGTAAAGGTGTTTGCATTGATTTTTCTTTTCCCCTAGTTGTATTAATAAATTTATTCTGAAAATGGTAATTTTCCTTATAACCTATATCTTCCTTCCACTGCAGTGTTTCCATCCTCTTTAATTCTGAGAAGCTATTATAATTATATTCAGGAATATTTGAAATTAATCAGTGCCATTTTCCAACTTCTGGCCTATAAGACAGATCAAAGTTAATTTTGGCTTTTGATGGATTTTATTTTTATATAATGAATGTCGGATGGATTTTTAGCCAGCAGTATTCTCTTCCACATAACAAGGTAGGGTAATGTGGGGTATTTCTGCTGTCCTTCCACACAAATACAGAAGGATGATGTAGCAGAAATGCCTTTTCATGTTTTGGCACTCAGTAATGATCATTCCAAAAGAAATTTTGGTCTTTTGGTGATAAAACTACTATATGAGAGAGAATGCAGGAAAGCAATATGCTTAGCTGTACATTTATAGAAGAATTCTAACCAGCAGCTAGAATTTAATAGAGAAAGAAGAAAAAATGGACCTGGGTACTATTCTGTTCAAATATTTCACCTTTATCATTTTTTTCCTTCCCATTTTTAATACTGGGTTGCACTAAAGGTTTTGGTGATCTTTCTCTTTAAGATGAGAGACACTAAAATAGGAATTAAAAAAACCTCCAAACCAACCAAAACAAAATCACAAACCCAAAACAGACAAAATGTTTATTCAATTTTTGTAGACATTTTGAAAAATTCCACATTTAAATTTCCAAACTCCACAAATAGAGGGGTTGAAAATACAGTATGTTGAAGTAATTTTACTTTGGCAGTATTTTCAGGGATTTTTTGATAAGTGGAGTTTCCTTAGGTTTTTTGATTTTTTTGTTTGCTTGTTTTTGGGGTTTTTTTAAATTATGACAAGTTACAGGATGTTAGCTTCAACTTTTTTCCTAGAAGTAATGTTAATGCCTACTCACAATAAAAAGATGTCTGTTTTCAATTAATGAAATGTTTCAATAAGATCCTGACAAATATGTAATACCAGGCATTAACTCAAAATTTGGATCAATTGGCACGTGTGGAATCAGTGAACTAAGCCTGGGAAAACTGAGTTTGCTTTCAGATGGGCAATGACAGTATTTTTAGCAAAATTTTCTATTACTGTTCTTTGAAATTTGCCATACCAATAGAATTGGAGCTGCAATGTAAAATGGGCAGTTGCTGTTCATATTTACCCTTATGTTCATGGTTTAAAGTGAAAGATCATCATAATCCCCCACATATATGACTGCTGTTAACTTGCATTATTCATGATTTTGAGAGGTTAAAAAAATAAGTACTAAGAGAATATTATTCTGTCTCTGACCCCAGGAATGTTGAAGAGCGTTCAGTAAACTCAGTCAGGGCCTTCCCACTGTTCTTGTTTTTAACAAAAATGTGCTAATTTTTTTTATAAGATACAAGATATTTTTATCTCATGGCACTAAGTAGCTTAAGCAGTGTTTTTGCATTACATTACAGTTCTTTAAAGAGTAAGAACAAAGCAAACTGTCCTTCCTGAAAGGATTTTTAAACAGTGGTGCCCCTGTAGTTACAAGAAACGTGTTACGGTTTTGATTATGGAAGCTATGACATATAACATTGTTCCTGCATTTAATAGAATGTGATGATGTTTTTTCTATAAAATCTTGTGATTTTTAGTACAATAATATTTTATAAATATACTGTCTAATTTGAAATGTAAATTGCTTGACTCTCTAATGGGTGCTTGGTAAATGCACAAGAGATTTAGCTTTGATTCTCAGGTACCTCTGACGAAATGGAGACGTGCTGGGTTTTTCTTCCTCATCACACAACTGGAATGTGAAGGAGCTCTCTCATCAATGCTTTACCTCTCTGTGCTGGTGTAAATTGTCATTGCTCTTACTGTTTCAATTTGGGAATGTCTTTATCCTGACATATTTCTTGTAGGAACCACATACACTTTAAAAAAACAACGATTTTTTCTATGTCTAGCATTTCTTTGATTACCATTAGCAACAGCAATTTCCCATATCTGCAAGATGGAAAATGAATACCATGTGTTGCTCTGTCAAACAGTTTAACTAATTCCTGTAATCATTTGAAATAACCAACAGTTTTTCTGTGTGTACAGTTAAGGTTTTGGAGCTGTTTGGTTTTTATATATGAAGGAAATGCTAATAATTTGCCAAATGCTACAGAGCATGCCTTTGGTTTTAGGGTTTTGGTGAGTCTATTTGATACACAGTGTGCTGCAGTTCAGGACAAAGGAGAAAAAGAATTTCAGTTTCTCTGGCCACTTTGTGTTAGGTTTCAGTCATGCTGAAAATGTGTTCCCTACAAGCTGTAGATGTAATGTTAATTCACCAGTGGACTGAGAGAGATGCCACATTGGTACTTAGCAATTACTTGCAAAGTCTGGGGCACATGAATGCTGCTGGAGGCACCAAGGGCCTGATGTTCCTGTTTTCCAGTGTTCACTGCATCCTGCTTGTTGGCTTTTGGCCTATGGAAGTCCCTGTATGAGGGCAGGGGCTGTACTGTGTCACTGGCCCTGCTTGCCATGGAGTTGGGCTGGAGTGGACTGCACACAAACTCAGAAGCAGGGTGGCTGAGGCACTCCTGGGTATCTCAGTGAGGTGTGGCGGATGCTGAAGTATTTTGTGGAAATAAGATGTTAATCAGGGGTGTTGTTTGAACCATGGGGCTGCAGCTGATACTTGACCCAGTGTGCTGGTCTGTGTGTGTCAAACCTCCTTGGAACATACTGACAAAAATAGGGGATACTGCAAATCACTTTCCTTGGTGTGTGCTGCTGTAATTGTCATTCCTTTCGCAATGCTCCTCGTGCCTAGATACTGCTATTCACAGCTATGATGGCTTTAAATAAGGTGGCAAAACGATTTCTTTGTAATTCTTGTTTCCATTTCTCTTGGTGTTGAATGTTATCGTTCCTATTCTCTCTTGAAAGATCTTACTATCTTAGGGAAATTAAGTTACTGAGCTACACTAAGCTATCAGAGGAGGGAGAAAACCAGTTCAATTTTGTTCATAGAGTGAATTTATGGGGACACGTTCAAATTTCATATGCAAACAGGCCTCGATAAGGCAGAGTGTTTGTAAATTAAGAAGTGGCATGCTCAAAAAATCAAGAAACAAACTAATGCTAATATCATAATGTTGAGTTATATGGCTAACTATAGGATGGTGCTTCTAATCAGCTTTCTTATCTGGAACAAGTTTTGAGTTAGTTACCATTTCTGTTATGGCTGTCATGTGTAGTGCCTGCAATTTAGTAGTTATGACTCCAGTAGCATTTCTGTGTTCACTCAAAAACAGTTGTTATGCATTATTTCCCCTATCTAATCCATGATTTCATTAATGCTGTAATTTGTTTTACATGATTATTGCAGGGCATGATTTCTCAGGGAAATATGGATGATACCATACGTTGTGAGAGCCGATAACTAATTCCTGCTTTTAAAATTGCTACAAACATTTCCGAGTTTCACTCAAAGCATTTCACATTGTGTAGCTTTCATGTTGAACTTCCTTTAGACTTATCAGGTAAATCATGATGAGAATGTTAAGAACATTTAAAGGTGTCAATAAAATACACTCTGCCCAACATTTGTTACTGTTTGTAGAAACATCCGTTCTAATCCGATGTTGCAACATGTGTGGTTTTACTTTGTTGTCCTCTGCGCCGTACAAATGAATAGTTACTCTGCTGATATTGAAGATGCACTTCTGGCATGACAGTGACATTAACTTTCAGGGTTAGGCAATACCATAATAATAATAATCTGATTATGGAGTAGATCACCGGTATAAATCTCTAATATAAATATATTCATTTATATCATCAAATTTTTACTAAGTCTGTTCACTTTGGGGATTTTTTTGTTTGTTTTTCCAGTAAAGATACTTTGTCTAGACTGGGATTTGATCCAAAGCCCAAGAGAGTCATAGACAGCATTAATAAAGTAAAACTTTATTGAAAAGGAACTCTGCAGTCAGGCTGACCTTTATGCCTTTGCAGTATTTCTATCTGCAGCGTATATTTGGAGTGGTTTGCTTTAAGACCTCAGTAATATAAATGGAGGGATTTTAGTGCTGGTAAAAATGGTAAACACACTACTGTAACTGGTCACAAAAGATATGTTCTGTATAGCCAGCAAGCAGCCTAATTATTTAGAAGGTGAATTTGTCTTACTACATGACTTTTGTTTAAAATCATCAGTATGAGAAATGTTAACCTCTACACTTTGTTGTATACTTGTAGGAGAATTTTTTTGTCCATAGTGAGAACGTGTGATCATAGTCATCAGCCTTGAGCATCACCTTCTTTCTCTTGATGATTTCTGCTTTGACATTTCCATTTACATGCCCTGTTGCATTCATTGCAGAGTGAATTTCCTCTCTAGGTAAAGCCAGTGTAATTACATTTTGACTATCCTAGTTCTCCGTGGTGTTAAAAATCTAACATAAAACATAAATCTGACACATAAATGTGACTACTCAGATATCTGTGTTCTCACTCTCCTCTGAGGTGAAGTGTTGCATCATTACATCTGGTATTAGGAGGTAACCAGAACTTTTCTGGATATGCCTGCCATGATGTGAAACACATCCAGAATTTCATCTGGCTTTCGCTTCCTACTTCTAAAAAGCATAAAAGGCTTTTCTCTGAGGATTTTTGTAGAAAGCAGCTGTTTAGTTCTACAAGTGCAGAGTCCTTTAGGTGCATCTCTGTTTCTAAAGTTGCATCTAATGTTCCTTTTCTTTTGTTAATGAACTTCTGTTTTTTCAGGGAGGGTGCACAAATTTTCTTTATATCCCACAGAAGAAATATAACCGGCTACTGGAATCGCCTCAGAAATAATAGTTCAGGGCTGCTCTGCACATATGTTCCTGATTTTTTTTCCACAATTTTTTTTATAAAACCCCAAACAAAACTTCACACTTATGAAGCTGGGGGAATTAGCCATTTAGCATAAAACTGATTTTATAATATGCAAATGACTGTCTTTTCATTGATGATATCCTTCGATATATTACAGCCCACAAATCTTCCTTGTCTGTGTAATAGGAGGTGATGCTTTTCTTCTACCTAAATCTGACCTTTTGCATACTGATTTAGTTAGTTCCTCTACAAGAATGAGTAATTTCTCAAATATTTTAGAATCTTCTTTTTCTTCTAGGTAGGGAAACAGGGGGGGCTTTCTAGCCAAACTGTGTCACTTTCCTGTTGGGTAAGGAAAAAAAAACCACGAAAATTAAAACAAGAACCTTAATTGAAAATTAGGGAATCTTAGTAGGAAGCATATGGAATCAGCTGTAATATCATTGAGGTAATTTCCTGCATAGCCCAATTCCATATAGGAAGTGCTTAGGCAATGGTTTATTGGATTGATCTCTGGTTGATCTTGACCTAATATAAAAAGTGGATATTTTGAATAATCATTTCATATTGAAGCTAAATGCTTAAATTAAGCCCTGTGATTATAACAAAAAAAACAAAAACAAAAAAATGGAGACAAATTATATTTGGAGACTTAGGAGTTTCTTTTTTTTTTTCTTTTTCTTGAAGTACATCCAAGCAGTTACAAAGGAATGCTTTGCTAATTGAAAGTCATGAGGCTGTTTACACAAAGCTATATGGAAAGCATAGCCAGTTGTTGGAGTTGACATTTCTGAATGGGATTAGAAAAACATAATAAGTATGAGGTACAACCTCAGCATTGTACAGCTGAAGGGGTAATGATTTAGAATCTATGTGAGGTCTCTTTGGAGTAGATATTAGTAAAGCAAAATTGTTTGTGAACCTTGATTTATGAAAATCCTGAAACTTACTGCGTTAAAAGATGCACAAAACCAGTAGCAGTTTTAATGTTTGTTTTGGCATTACATTTTGTACCAAGTTTCAGGGCATTCTCAATAACACTTTTAAAGCAGATGCTGCTTCAACTGAAGAAAACTTTTGTTTGCCTGAAGTCTGTACAGTTTCTTGATAATTCAGATGTTCAGAGAGCACAGAAAGTTCCAGTATATATCCTCTATGAAACGTCTTTATGCATCATCTTTTAACCATTTTCCTTAGCGAGACCAGAACGTGAATTACTGATGTATTGCATTTGCACTTAAAAACCTGAGTCAGAGTATGTTAAAAACCTTGATCTATTTTTGATAACAAAAGAAATGTAGCATTTTAATCTGATTTCCATTTAATGGTAAGGATATTCATGCAGAGAAAAACATATAATGGAGGTTTGATGCAGTGATTTTTTAAGCCAAGAAAACAGCAGGATGGCAGTGGTAAATCTGAAATAAAGATGCATGTCTGCTCAGAAACTCTGGTTTCCTTCTGCCCTCTTTATACCAAATTGGTGTCTCCATTATTCCAGGATAGTACAGGTGAAGCAAGGACCAGAACTTTACCCTTTGTTCTTTAAAAGTGAACACTGGCTTTTGCCTGGAATGTCTTTGTCCTGTCACTTCATTTTCTGAGGGGAAGTCAGTTAAATGAGAAATATAGAATAAGTATTTTTAATTAAAATCAGATTTAAGCTATTCATTATTTTGAAATCCTCTATATTAATAGAGATCTAGTGAATGGAAATTAAAGTCCTATATTGCAAATACTGAACAGTGCTTATATATTTTTAACAAGACCAATATATATATGAGTATTTAAAACGTGTGAAGGTAAAAATTGGACAATTTTTCTTGTGTTTATAGGTTGAAATTGAAATTCTTAATACCCAGTACCAAAACCCTATAAAAGGGCTAATGAAAAGAAAATGTAATGTATTCTGATTAACAGCCTGTGTAATACAATCAGTGTGTGTGATGTTTTTGTTCTGTATTATATTTATTATATGTAAGTAAACAATAAAGATTATAAATCTTATTTTCTTAACAGGAATTGGTATTTGGTTGGGGTTAATACTGAATGTGTTTTATATAATCAGTTAAGAAAAAATGAATGGTCTCTAAGGGTGGGCTTAAAAGTGAGTTTGGAGATGTCTCGTTTTACCTGAAGTCAGCCAGGATGCCAGAGGTTATAGTCTGGTCTCATACCGGCCTGTGTGCTGGCTTTGACTGGGGTAGGGTTAGTTTTCTTCCCAGTGGCTGGTGTCGGCTGTGTTTTGTGTCTGTGCTGAACACAGTGATGACAGATGTTTTTGTGGCTGAGCAGGGCTTGCACAGAGCCAAGGCCTTTTCTGCTTCTTGTGCTGCCACAGTGGTGAGGGGGCGGGGGGTGTACGGGAGTCTGGGAGGAGACACAGCTGGGACAGGTGACTCCGACTGACCACGGGGATATTCCAGACCACATGACATCGTGTTCAAAGTGGGGGGAAGAAGGAGGAAGAGAGGAATGTTAGAAGCAATGACATTTGTCTTCCCAAGTAACCGTCGTGTGTGATAGGGCCCTGCTCTCCTGGAGATGGCTGAACCTGCCCATGGGAAGCAGTGAATTCCTTCCTTGTTTTGCTTTACTTGCACGCACAGCTTTTGCTTTCCCTATTAAATTTGTCTTTATCTCAACCCACGAGTTTTCTTGCTTTTACCCTTCCAGTTCTCTCCCAGACCCTGCTGGTGGGGGGTGAGCGAGTGGCTTCGTGGGATTTGGTTGCTGGCTGGGGTTAAACCACGGCAGTCTGGTAATTTAAGTAGTAAAACAGCAATTTTTTAATCCATTTAGCGTTTGCAGGTGATTTTTGTTTGCGAATACCTGAGTTATAACTCAGTGTGACCAGCAGGAGGAGCTACTGCAGTGCCCATCCCGCTATCCCGTCGCTCAGCTCCCGTGTGAGAAGTTATTACATAAGCGGTAAAAAGACGATTAATTTACCTGTTTATCATTCTTGATTCCTGGAGTTAACCAGGGCTAGATATTGACCTTTCTTCATGCAGCTGAACTTTCAGTGTCTTTAATAATTAAAATCTCGGGGATCATAGGCATTTATGTAAATACTGAATAGAAAAAAATCTTCTACCACAGGCTTTTCTGAGTTTTCTTGACTTTCACCTACCGCTGAATTCTTTTTACTGATACCATCAATATTACTACACAGCTATAGAAAAAAGCAGCTTTTTACACTAAAACAAGGGGATACTTTCTTGGCCATACCTAAAATATGCAAAAATGCAATAGGATGTTACCAAGTTAAGTTTTAGATAGTTTCTTAAAAAAATGTCAAGTATATGCATAAAGACATCATGCCAAATATAAATCACAATATGGAGAGGCAAGAGCATGCATGAAACAAAGGGAGTTTAGCTAAGAACTTGGAATGGTGTAATGCAGGAGGGATTCCTGTCTGAACCAACTTCAGCTGCACAAATCCACTGGGAAGAGCCATGGCTTTACTTGCCCCTGCTCTGTCCTGTCTAAAATGAAAGCTTGTAATGAGCAAGGGTGATGTAATCAAAAGTTATTTCATAGAAGCAGCTCATAGAGTGTCTGCCCTCTCTTTTGAGTGTTCTGGCCTTGAAACATAAAAACTTTAAAAGTATCACTTTCTTAGGCTGTGTCAGTACGTGATGAGTTGTGCTGTGCATGAATGGCCAGGGCAGGTGGTCACAGAATCACAGGAGCAGGTTTTGCAGTGGAAGTTTGTAAAGATGTGTGGAGGCCTATAAGGAGATTGGGGAGTTGGCAATGATGTGCTATGGCTCACTAGCCCCGAGGGTGGGGGAGCTCTTTTGTAAATGACTGAGGTAAGAAGCTGTTTTGTGCTTTGTTCTTTTGGCTTGTGGGGATTTGTTTGTTTGTTTTTCCTTATCCAAAATGTGAATCGATGTATTGTTATTCTGTTAGGCTAGTAAGATCTAAACTCTTTTTTCTGTGAAATCTTGACACCTAGTACTTTTCTATATACAAAGGGATAAGTCAGTGCAGGCTGGCTAGATTGCTTTCAATCTTTAGGATGTAATTTGTTGACACATTATCCTATTCTGTCCTGTATACTCTTCAGTTTTAGGAGACACATTTCATACACGAAACTGCCACTTGCCAGAAGCTCAGTGTCACTTGCTAGAAGGTGAGGTTTAAAGCTTCTGAAAAGGATGATTTAAACCCTATTTTCAAACTTCTCTTTTTACCAACAGTATGTATGTGGGAGACATTCTTGGATTTTATTTATATCTGCAACCCAAGTATATTCCATTTATATTGATTTTAAAAAACTTGGACAAAGCTTAAGGTTTCCAAAGAAACAGTGGCTTATTACTTCAGTGTGAACTCCTCTTCCTTTCTTACCCTCATTTTCCCCCCTCTGCTCCCAGCCCCTGCTTCAAGCTTATGCAAAAGAAAAGCCAGTTGTTCTAGTTTATGGCTTTAAAAGTTTTCAGGACTGTTTTTTGGTAGCGTTACCTAATATGTTATAATTTGCTGTGACATGATGTTCATATCATAAAGTTTCCCTAATTATCCAACTAGGCTTTTCTTTGTGGGAACCTTCCAGTGTTGGACCATTTCCTAGGCTGCTTTCATTTAACTTCTAGGATCCTGCTGCTAATGATGATGGAAAACTTATGATTACACTGTGAGTGTGCGTTTACACAATGCAAAGGAAGATTCATAAACATAAAAGAACATTCTATCTGTCTGTAACAGTGTTCCCATTTAGAAAGAAGCTTATCTGCCAGTAAGTGTAATTTTTTTTTAATCCCATTGGAAGGAAAAAATACATAAAATTTTTTTAAAAAATCAAGTAACAGGCAAACAGGCAAGTGAGAGATTTCTGACCATGGGGCATGTGGTAATCTAAGAGAAATGGGAGATGAGGAGGAAAGGACCACAATGAGTGGAGTTTGGTCTCATGCATACCTTTCCCCAAGTCCTCCTTGCCTTTTTATGTATTTTCTTACTCTTTTCACTAATTGAGAGGACATCATTATTTCATAGTATAAATATTTTAAAATATTATGGAAATGTGTCAGTAATTAAACAAATGTCTTTTATTAAAAACAGATTTTGACAGAAGTGCCAACACTGACTTCTACCTCCCCTCTTCACTGTTAGGTAAAAGCTGATACATCTCCATCTGTCACTCTTTTGCATGTGATGTTTTCCCCAGTGCTTAAAATTGAAGTTGGATTCACTACCATCCATACAGGAATGTGTTGGCCATACTGAATTTCAAGTGTAGGAAGAGAAGCTCCTGAAAAATGTGTTCCTAGAATAGGGTAAAAAAAAACTCTTACCAAAATGTTTTTCTCAAGGAAATGGTTATGGACTAAGCCAGCATCCTCTCTCAGATATAAAGGGGCAATCAGGACCAGCCTAACCTAGACAAGAGAAAGAACAAAGTGATGATCTGGCAGGAGCTGATGGAGAGCCATGGTAAGGGAATGAACAGCCCTTCAGAACTAGATGTGTAATGGGTTTTCAGTAAATGAGGTGCACCTGAGCTCCTGCAAAAGGAGTCAGCCTGAGTTGAAATTATTCCTGTCCTTGTCTGTTCCTTTTATACTTGAGGGTAGGGTAAGAGGTTGAGTTCTCAATAAAGCTTTGAGACAGACCAATTTTTGTGAAATCAGATTCTCACAGTTTAAGTTTCAAAACACACAAAAAACTTAAATGGTAGAAGTGTTTCATTATTTTAAAAACACTAATTCACTTTCAGGGTCTAACTGATATAAAAGTTTGATGACACATGGAGTCTGTCATGAAATAATCCTACTGTTGCCTTGGCGCTCTGCCAGAGTAATTCCTCAAAACACCTAGTTAATGCTTTTAATGATGTATCTCTGCTTTCTGGCTCTGGTCTGCCATTATACCTGCCAATCTACCTCCTTCCTTTGCAGATGATTTCCAAAATTGACACATTTATGTGCCCCTTTATAAGTTCTTAACTTCTCTCTTTTTTTCTTTTTCCCTCTCTCACAGGTTTAGAAAAAGACTGTTCAATTCTAAATTGTCTGAAAAATTGGCAACAGTCACCCTAGCGGTACAGCAAAGAGGCACAAGTACAGAGGAGTTGTGAATACTGGCTTTGCATATTTCTCCTCACGTGCCAGACTATTTAAATCTGAAGTTTATGTTGGCCTTGGACTGTGTCTTGAAGAGAACTCCTTAACAAAGCTTCTTGTTCCACATAACAATATTTTGTTATATGTTTAGAGAACACTATACTTCCTGCTTAGTTTGGTTTTCAGGAGAGGATAATAGTTTCAAGATAAAGGTTGCTTGAATGTAAATTCAACACAAAATGGACTCTTAGAGAAACTCTACAGTGTTACAGTCAATTCCATAGTGTCCTGAATTTGACCTGTTCCAAGGACACAGTCTTTTATGTGATGCTTTGAATGTCACAAGTAGACACAATACTACCTCTTCCCCTTCCTTATCATTACTGATTATACTTGGGGAAGTTCCTTCACCTTTCAGTGGTTTGAGTTTTCCCCTTCCTAAAATTATGCTAGTGATTGCAATTTTATTCTTTTATGAGGTGAAAACAGGATAACAAAGTGTTGGCACAGTTGCTGCAGGGCTTGGGCAAAAAACTGTACTTCATGTGTCCTTAAGAACACCTCAGTTCTTAAGGAAGCAATAACTACAGCTCTCAGCTCAGGCCCTGCAGCAATATTGCCATCTTGTCTCTCATAGTCCCTTAAATCTCCCTAATTCCTTCTGCCCTGTCTGACCTTTGCTACTTGGGCAGTCAGTTTGCTTCCCGAAGTCCTTAATCAGTCTTCACTACAGATGCCAGCACTAAGACATCAGTGCTATTGCCAGTGCTGGGCCAGGACCTTTAATACAGATGTCACAAGAGAGACACCAAGGAAGATTAACTGCTATTTGCTAGATTTTTAAAGGAAGTCTTTTAGCTGTTTTAAAAAGAGAGTAGGGATTTCTCCAAACAGCTAAAAGACTTATTTCTTCAGTGAAACAAATGTCAG